TTCGATTTTTATCCCAAAAACGTTTGGAATTTTTTTTATCAAAAGCGACTACATGAAAAGTGGTCTCACACTGACAGCGGGAGTAAATACCACACTAGGGTCCGATTACGACGGGTGACCTACTTCGAATGATAAAAGTGCCTCTATTTACAAGCACGCGACCTGGTACATCAGTTTGTTATGATACATTCGGCTCTGTAGGCCAGAGGGGCTGGGCATTTCACATGATGGCAAGCCCTCTAATTTAAGTGAATTTTTGTTGGATATGCGTAAGACAAGAAGAAGGAACAGCCGCAAACAGAAGCTGTTAGATTTTAAGGGAAAATAGGGCCATTCTTTCATGCGTGTTGTTTAAAGATTATCGAACGTCTTTGAAGACCGGAAGTAGGTTTTCAGGTGTCCCAGTCACTTTACTTCAAGTTGCAATGTAAGTTATTTATCCAAGTGTCGCTCTGCAAAATGGGTACCAGGACGGATGAGAACGCGTCTAGCTTTTAGTGCATTCTTTAAAAAATTTTGAGCAAGATTTGGTCTTGAGGCCTCACTTGACTAACGCCACATGGTTAGCTTACTAAAACAATTTAAGTTAACATAGTTAGCCGCTCGTTGGACCAGAAAGGTAAAGAGAGCTCAAGCAGAGCTCGAAACACGCACAGGGGTGCCTATGTAAACCGGTGTTTGGTGTAATTGAAGGTGGCGTGTACACACTCCCCGCGACACAGCCACTCGTTGGATTAAGAGGATAAGGAAAGTGCAGTCGCAACCGGAAAGCCCCGAAGGGAAGCGCGTGTTGATTCGCAGTACATGGCTACTTTAGTGGAGCCGATGCAGTTCAAATCCGTCCGATCAATCCCACTAGCAAACCTGAAATGTCAACCAAAATTTCGAAATGCGTTCTCGTTTCGGAAATATAAATTAAGTAAAACTAATTTATGATGCAGCATAAATCTATAATGATCCAGTTACCTCAGGGTGTCTACTTTCGAAAGAACTTTTTTTCGTCTGTATGCAAGATCTATACTCTGCAAAAAATGACTACTTATATAGTATGCAATTTTCTCATTGATTTTCGATGCCCTTGAAAAACCAAGTATATTTCATGGAAAACATGCATAAAAATATTCCTTCTTTACTTATTCGGTAGAAAATCGCGTCTTCTTCCAATTTCATATTCAAAAGAAGAGTATAATTCGGTTCTAAAAAAGTTTCTAATTGTGAGATTTTTTAATACCGTTAAATGGCCGTTCATGAAACGTCATGAATCTGCATTTACGAATGTAGCTTGTAAAGTTAACAATATTGCTCAAATCCACTGTTTAATTTTATGAACCTCATATGGTCTCCTCTTAACACCGTAGAGAAATGCATGGTTTTCCGTACACGGACAATATACAGCTTGTAGTTTTCAAACCCTGAACGCAAGTGTAAGAGCAGATCGGGTTCCAACTTATTCGGGACTCAGTAAAGTTTTTTAAAACCGAATTATACTCTTCTTTTGAGTATGAAATTGGAAGAAGACGTGATTTTCTACCGAATAAGTAAAAGAATGGATATTTGTATGCATGTTTTCCATTAAATATATTTGAATTTTCATGGGCATCGAAAATCAATGAGAAAATTGCATGCTACATAAGTAGTCATTTTTTGCTGAGTATAGATCTTGCATGCAGCCGAAAATAAGTTTTTTCGAAAGCCGACACCCTGAGGTAACTGGATCATTATAGATCTATGCTGCATCGTGATCAGTTTTACAACACTACTTAATTTATCTTTCCGATACGAGAACGCATTCCGACATTTTGGTTGACATTTCATGAGTTAGCACATCTACAGTACTTAGTCATTCGCTAAATTAAGGTACTAAAGTGGGACAAAGCAGCACAAACGGTGTAACTCTTGTATGTATGCATTCTTTCCGTTATTGTTGCTACTTTCGCTACCACTGTTGCCAAGGCTGATCGTGATTTGGATGTCGCATTCTTTGACTGTTTCAACGATCAACGGAATTTGGGTTTTGAATTCTCCTAGCACTTTCCTACGACAATAGATCCAGAGATCGGTGTTCTGGAGATGGGCTACCAGAGAACTCAAATCCCCAATCTGCAGAAGGTTTATGCGGCTACACGAACTACTACCAATCGTGGATGGACTGACTGACTGAGGAGTGAAGGTGTGGAGATACGACCCGGGAACTGCGGGTATGTCTACGGTGAGCAGTGGCGCAGTCTTTAGATCCCTGCTGCCGAAAGTGCATCGTAATACTGAAGGCCTTCTTGATTTCGCTTTTAAAATCTTTTAATTAACAGGGAACTGAACCATTTCAAGATTCTCAGTGTCCGCCTAAGCCCCCTATAAAGGAGATGTCTGGCTGTTTATACTGGCCGAGTATAATAAAAATTTGGAGTCTGCACAGACCCTTGGGGGACTTTCATGAATAGGTGTCTGCAAAACCAATCAGGTATAGATTTTTACCGCCCACTGTATATACTGCTGTCGTTCAGCAGCATCCTATCACCTGGGCTGTCGGGTAAATTAACCTAGAACTACTTTTAAGCAATTACCAGGCGATGAACGGTCATACGATGCGCTGATGCTCTACGGGGGCTCTTTTCTGCTAGTAGACCCTGGGAGGAGGTTTCGTGGGAGTTTTATAGTCCTGGCATATTTGCAATTTGTGTGGCTACACGATGTTCAACTTCTTTTTTTGACCAAAAGACATGCTTTCGGACGGCGACTAACTAGGCGCACCACGCAGGTCTGAAGGTGACCTTATGTTAGACAGATGACCCATTAGGCGATCGCTGACTGGCATCAGTCGCTCCAGGGCAGAGGCAGGAAGTCGGTGACATTTGCCGGCAAAGCCTTTTCGGCTAGGAAGCATTTCTACCCTATGGGGCAGGTGAACCAGCTTATAGCTCCCTCATGGGCCTCAACCTCGCAGTTGCCTACCGACAGCGCTTTCGGTTCGGCAGCTGGTTCATTTAAGTGGCCGTATGGGGGACTAACGATTGGGCGTGGGATAAGAGAAAGGAGAAGCAAATCAGAGGGGATTTGCTAGGGGAGGGGTGGGGGGAAATTCTCGTTCGGGTCAAGGTCCGGCTTCTTGAAGCAGTGAGAGGGAGGGTGGAAGCCGGCGCACACGCAGCCCAAGAACACAAAATACCGGACGGATAAGTTCAATCAACTTGCATCTACTTAGCCCGTGCGTCTGTCATCCCTCCACCTCGACATCGTTCTGCTCCTGCACTTCGGCAGCTTCCGACTTGCCGTCAGAACGCTGTGATGACTGGGGCGAAAGGATTTTTTCCAAAGAAGCTACATGGGTCGCAGCCTCAGCCTGCTCCTGTGTTATTTGCAAGCAGGAAGTAGAATAGGTAGCCGGAACGAGAGATCCATTTGTCGGACGGCTGCTCTTTATGTTCGAACGCATACACGGACTTGGAAAGAGATAGGGGGAATGAACGCACACGGGCGGGAGAAGAGGGGGGTGGCAGAAATAATCGGGTACAGAGAAGAGGACACCGATAAAGACAAAAGAGACTGGTTTGTTAGCCGTTGTTAGTCGGTCTTACCCAGCCCCATCTCTGTATGGCCCAATTCTAGTTCTTTAGTCGTCGCGCATTGCTGAATCCAAGGCTGAGCCATTGGCCCACGGGCTCGTTGTCCCGTGGGTTATGGTCTGGAATATAAGCCACTGTAGATGGGCGTTCACCGATGGAGTTACGCGATATGATCGTCCCGTCGGGCCTTTGGGCTCAATGTAGGGCGCTCACAGGCATTTGGTTTCAGTGCCGTCGAATGGTTAATGACTGACTGGCCCCGCTCAAGTTTTTGATCGCCGAACCTTCGTCGCGGTGAATGTACCCGACGTATTGGTTTTTTTTGCCGGCCGCGACAGAATGACCGGTTTGTTTAGGTGGAAAGCTCAGACACCGAAGCACCAAGGCGTTGTGAATAATTATAATCTACCAAGTAATGCGTCAAGTTATTGCGAGTGAAAGCTCGGGTATTAGCGAAACCAGTTACAGTGAGTGACCTATCTCATGAAATATTGGCTGAAATTCTGAAATGCCTTTTCGATTAGGAAGGATTACTTGGTCGCGGTTGTAATACTGACTATCTTGCGGCATAATCTTATAACATTTCGGACTCGGCAGGATGTCGGCTTTTAAATGCACTTTTTTTCAATCTCCTATAGAAAGCGTACTCGGTAAAAAACGACTACTTTATTAGCATGCATTTTTCTCATTGATTTTCGATGGTCTTGCAAATTCAAATATATTTCATAGAAAACATGAATAAAAATATGCTTTCTTTTAGCAATCAATAGAGAATCACGTCTTCTTTATATATTATACTTAAGAAAGGATTATAATTAGGTTTTAAAAAAGTTTCTAAGTATGAGACTTTTTAAGACCGCGAAATGTCAATTCCCATAGCATCGTACCTGACCGTTTACCACTGCTCCTCATGTAATGAACAACACGGTCCGCATCCATTGCAAAATTTTATGGACTCTGTATGATATCTCTTTAATAGCATAGAAAAATATGTGATTTTCTTTACGCGGAACGCGTACACCTTGCAGAATGAAATTACTAAGCGCTAATGCAATGAACGATCAGGCTCCAAATTATTCGGTAATTGGAAAACTTTTTTCAAAACCTAATTATACTGCTTCCTTAAGTATAATATATGAAGAAGACATGATTATCTATTGATTGACTAAAAGAAAGCATATTTTTATTCATGTTTTCTATAAAATATATTTGAATTTGCAAGACCATCGAAAATCAATGAGAAAAATGCATGCTAATAAGGTAGTCGTTTTTTACCGAGTATGCTTTCTATAGGAGATTGAAAAAAAGTGCATTTAAAAGCCGACATCCTGCCGAGTCCGAAATGTTATAAGATTATGCCGCAAGATAGTCAGTATTACAACCGCGACCAAGTAATCCTTCCTAATCGAAAAGGCATTTCAGAATTTCAGCCAATATTTTATGAGATAGGTCACTCACTGTAGATCCGAAGGCCTCTGTTCGCTCGGCATGACGGATGTACAGTGGCTGTCGGATACAGCCGGATCTCATAAAGCTAAAAATCATAAAACACCTGTTCGTTAGAAACGCGAACCCTATACAACCAAAACGCCTCATTTTGGTAGGTCCCGTCCAAAGGAAATCCTAGGTGTTTGTATCCGTTTTTTCAATAAGGCAAAAAATGAGTGGTAGTCAAATAAACACAGTCACGTATTCTTTTGGTGAATCTTTCTTCAGGAAGTTTTGACTTGTACATTTCTACGTTGGACGACTTTCGGGCATGTACTAGGGATACATCTAGGCGCAATCCGCAACAATCATGGGATAACGCCATGAAGTAAATCAAATGGACGCTCAGTAAGAAAAGCACTCAAGGTGAAATCGATATATGGGTTTTGTCGTAAGGTCTTAGGTAACTTTTACTTTATCGGGATATCCACTCTGTACATAAAAGTTTTAATAAAGGGTGGTTCAAATAGCTCAGTCGATCCATTCGGAAGAAATCACTCTCAAAAGAAACTGTGAGGGTTTGCAATAGCACATTAGGTCGACCTACCCCGATCCCGCCGTAGCGGCCTGGACTAAAGTGCATATCACTTTTTCTCATCGTGTGTCTGAGACAGGCCACACTAAGTCCTCACTGTCTCTGCGCACGCACGTGGAGCGGTAGAAGAAGCTCAGGCCACGGCAGCTCCATCTCCTTTGAATTTGCTTTGCTTCGCATAGGTTACTAACACAAGGAAAAGGAGAGGGAAATTAGGTCTACCCCCCAACTCCGGGATTCAGTCTTTGGGTTCTTCACTATAAACACTTAAGGGTTTACCAATAGAAGCGAAGAGCCGAGTCCCAGGAAGTAGTCTTGAAGAAGGAGACACGATCGCCGGGACAAGAGCTTTATTAGCCGGACGTTTCGGATTCCTACTCGAATCCATCATCCACCCGTTTCTGCCCTTTTGTCTCTGATGATGGATTCGAGTAGGAATCGGAAACGTCAGGCTAATAAGCTCTTGTCCCGGCGATCGTGTCTCCTTCTTCAAGACTTAAGGGTTTGTTTAAATTTTCACAAATGGTTACTAAAAGGCGGCATAAGTTATTTCTCCTGTTGAGTAGGGATTAGCTTACAGTGTATTCTTCCTATTATGACCCGTTCCCGAACCTCCTTCCATGAAAGATCTGATAACACTTTCTCGAAGCCGTGCAACGCGTAGAGTTGGTCACCAGGTCATGTGCGGCACATGAAGACCGGTTGCTTAACTTGGCCAATAACCATGCCTGGTCGTCTTGTTTTTTTCCTGACCATTTGAATACAGGGTGTGCTTGCGTACAGAAAGTGCCAATTTTACTACAGACAAGTCCGCACACAAGCCACAAATGCGTCCTCTCTAAGACCGTGATGGTCCCAATCTTGTGACTAAAAAGCGCTGATTGTGACAGGTCATAACGACGATAAACTCATAACGTATGCACCTCAGGACGTAATCGAAGCCCATACGTCAGAATAAGACTAAATCGCAAATCAGAAGCAATGGAATGTTGATAGTTAGGGCGTCAGTAACTGATGTGACAGAACACCGAATACGAATCCCGGTGGCTGTAGTCTAAGTCCACTCGGAGAAGTCTGTTTTTCAGCCTGGTAAGTTTCGCGCAACCCACACTTTCTGGTTGCTAAGGGGCTTTGGCACAGTTTTCCTTATAGTATTAAGTCTTGTTCTGTAGAAAACTAATAGCACGTTCACTCGCGGGAACATATAATCACAACGCTCAGCCGCCCGTGCCAGTAGGCACTAAACATCCACCAAGATTTTTCGGTAGAAATTATTTTGTCAGCGAGTCTATTATAAATATTCGATATAAGCAGGTTCTAAGATTTAGGTTACAGAACGTAAAGAAAGTCAGTGAGCTTGGTAGCAAAGTAAGGCGCTAACAGAAAGCAGACTTAATGAGAAAACTCAGATAATTTGAGTAAGCAGCTATTTTCATGTCAAGAGAGCAGGAGCCGATTTAAAACGAGGTTTTTGATTCCCCCTACATGTTCAGGACAAAGGTGCCGAAACCAAGGGTCCGTCCGCCAGTCTAGCTGCTGGACACCCATTGCACTAAGGGATGGCGGGTGTCGGGGTGGCCATCGGTGAAGTTCATCCACAAAGTAGACAGGTCCTTGGGTCGGACAAATAAGTGCAGACCAAAGTAGCAGCAGTAGCGAAGGGTTGAAGTTTGGCAGTTCGAACACGCTACAAACTAAAGGCGGGTGTATGCACTGTGACCTGGCCAGCATGAACAATAGTTACAAGAGTTCTTCCTCCCTCAGCTGCCGTGTCGAATGAACCCCGCCAAAAAAATCCAACAGTGGACCGTGGAAGCCATCTTTTATTAAATTTCTGAATGCCTGTAGAAATAAAAGACCATTAATCACGAATCCCGACACGGGATCTCATGAGTCCGTGAATATCAGTTCAGTTCAGAGCAGTTTATTGAGGGAAATAGGCGTAAGCCTTTGAGTACCCTATTTGCAACGCAAAAAATGTGTGGTGTACAGATAGATGTTCTGGACTGAAACAGTTCGAACACGCCCATAATGGTGGGACAAAATGAGAAGGAGTTACAGGGAGTGAGCTCGACTTCTCATCGCTCTGGGTCATTTCGGAACATAAATATGTCCAGATTCTTCTTAAAACTTTGTATAGATGGTGACATTGCAACATCTGCGCGAAGCTCATTCCATGGTTTGACCACCCGAACCGAGAAGGAGAACTTCCGCACATCCAGCCGTGCCTGCTGAGTGCGCAGTTTTAACGGGTGACCTCAGAGGTTGGTCGTGGTAGCAAATTCAAAAAAGTCCTCCATAGCCAGACTACAATCCAACCCCTTTATAATGCGGAAGGCTTGCAAGAGATCCCCGCGAAGTTGCCTGTAACTCAAAGGAAGGAGGTTCAGATTTACTAGGCGGGTTGCAGAAGGAAAGTAGCTTTGACCCCTAACCATCTTCGTGGCTCTCCTATGGACTCTTTCGAGGCATTTTTGATCCTCAACAGCCCACGGCCTCCAAGCTTGTATGCCGTTCTCTAAGTGCGGCCGGACGAATGTTCCGAATGTTTTAGAGAAAGCTTCTTCGTCAAAGTCCATAAACGCACGCTTGATGGCGTACAGTACGGACATTGCGCTTTTTGTTACCGTCGAACAGTGGGCGGATGGTTTTAGGGAACTCGTCGTCAGCACACCGAGGTCCCTTTGGGCTTCGACCTCTTCTAGTGCTGCACCGCCCAGAAAGTAGCCTCTTGTGCTGGCAGATCTGGCTGTGTTGCCTAGGCGAAGTATGCTACATCTGGCAACGTTGAATCGCAGGAGCCAACGGTTTGACCACTCCTTCAACCGATTCAGGTTCATCTGCAGTCTGTCTTCGTTGGCAGGACCCCGAATTACACTCCATATCTTCATGTCATCCGCAAACATTGCTACTTCACAGTCTAAATCTCTTGCGGCATCGTCCATGTAGATAAGGAACAAAATGGGTCCCAGTACTGAACCCTGGGGGACACCACTGTCGACCATAGCCGGATCTGATTTTCCCCGACCGATGCACACAACCTGGTGTCGACCCACAAGGAAGTTTTCGATCCATTTAAGGAAGTTGCTACCGATCCCTATTTTTTTCAGCTTTTGTAAGAGCCTTTGGTGTAGCACAGTGTCAAACGCCTTCTGGAAGTCGATGAAGGCTATGCGGACCGCGTGTCTGTCGTCGAGAGCTCGGGTCCAGCTCTGGAGAGATTGCAGCAAGTTTGTCGTGCAGGATTTTCCTTTCCGGAACCCACGTTGGCAGTTCGACTCATACTGCGGCGTCCGCTGCAGAAGACGCGTTCGTACGTATGCCAGTGGTAAACACACAGGTCAGACTCTTTGAAAAGAAGAAATGGCTGCATTTCGCAGTGTTCCACACCCTAGAAACTCGGCATGCTACCGTGAGAGCCTTGACGTAGTACAGCGAGCAAACTGTTTGCCTCCGAGGTCACGTTGGCGGGTTCCATCAGCCATATTACGGGCGTGCTACAGACGACTTTGACAAACATGGCGTTCTACTCTCTACGGGTTAACAGACCGCATCCCCATTTTTAGACAAGGAAAGGAGACCTCTGAGGACTGCGGTTTGGTGTCTTCATGGTGTTGTTCCCATCATCAGTGCGCCAAAAAGCCCGATGAAAACGAGGAGTTTGTAAAGAGCATCAAGTTGCCGCTAGCATGTCCTGATATCCGACTCTTTTTCTGCTCCGGGATTGGAAGTGTCAGGGCGGGCCGTGTGGCGCATTCACTGCGGTTCATCGGCCATCAAGGGGTTACAGTAGCGGGCCTAACTATCCGGAATCTATAACTCGGAAAAACGGAATCCTAATGACATTCTCTGTGACAGTGCAGTGAACATTTCTTTAAATTAGAAGAAATGGCGATCTCGGGAACCTGAGTTTTACCATCCTGACGTTTCAAAAGCAAACAAGCTTCCATCCTCGGAGATGAGTGTGATATCGCGCCTCACAGTATTTATAGGTGGGTGAAAGTCATGCCAAGACGGGTGTTTTTACACATGAACTCAGGGCGGCAGGAGGGATGGAAGTTTGTTTGCTTTTGTTCCATCCTCGGAGGTGAGTGTGATATTGCGCCTCACAGTATTTATAAGTGGGTGAAAGTCATGCCAAGACGTCTTTTTTACCTATGAAGTCAGGGCGGCAGGGAGGATGGAAGCTTGTTTGCTTTTGAAACGTCAAGACAGAAAAACTATGGTTCCCGAGATCGCATTTCCTTCTCATTTATGTCCGGGGAAGCGCATCTTCGCTCCTATCAGCAATTTCTTTAAATATACAAATCACATCCATGAATACCTTTGTAATCGAAAGTATACAACTGTATCAGTCTCCCTAAATTACCATACAGGAGCGTTTTTCCAAGTCCGACGATATGGTCTGATGGGCGTTTTCTTAAGGAAGATGACTAAAGAAGGTAGTTTCTGGTAGAGGGTCCCTCCCCGATCGTGTTACGGAACTCACTCGTCTCGTTATGCCTTACGGACTCTCTTTCTCGAGCCCAACCAGCAGCCGCATAGCGAGACATGATATAGACAGAATAGCATTAGACAAGGCAGACTGGAATGGCCGTTTCTGGCTTATTAGCCGTCGTCAGCCAGTCACACCCTACCCCGAAATGTGGAACACCTGGGGCTTGATGCCGCCAGCAGTTGGTTAGAAGTCCAACGCCTCTAATCGCTGAGCCACGGGATCGTTATACCTGTCGGTTGCGATTGGAACATACAATCGTGTTACGGTATCTTTTCTCGCGTAATCCGCTGAGTCCTCTCTCGGCCCTCACACAAAGTCTCCTCTCGTTGTGTTCAGTGAGATACGAACTGAGAAGTGATTATCGGGAGAGAAGGGTTGCGCGACTCGAATCATAGCCCCACTCAGAATTAAATCGCCTTTAAACTTGCCGGAGTACTCTGGGCCATCTCAGGGATACATTCGCACGCGATGTACGGCGCCGACACTGACAGCGAGACTGTTTTTGACCTCGCTTCCGTGAGGTCTGGGCTGCAGCTAAGACCACGTGTGGTCGAAAAGGCATGACTTGCGAGAAAGTACAGCGCCAAGCGTCGGCATGGCTGTACGCGCTGCGACAAAAACCTCTCGCTATAACGGTAAGAGGATTTTAGCAGTTCAGCAGATGAGTCGTTGTCGTTTCAGCTGGCGGCCACCGCTCAGAAATAAGACACGATTGGGCACTTTTTGACATCCGACCACCCACAGCGTTGTCGAGGTGGATAGCAGTCCTCCCTCCCTCTCTCTACACAGGCTAGGATCCCCTGCGACTCTGCACGCCTACTCTATCAAAATATTTGTTGGTTGGACCTTACCGGCTACTCGAATGCGACACCTACCATCTACCGCCTGCCTGTACAGACTCTGAATTTCTCATTTCTGCGAAAATTTTCACAATTACTTCCCGCACTATCCAACCCTAACCCACTGGTAGTCCTGCTCATGGATACAACATTGGTTTAGCACTGTCAGGCTGCGTGGTCGTCCTCTCATACAAGGAAGGTAACACATGATTTTGGTATTTAAGCGTTCACTGTTCGAAAGAAAGTCCAAAATTGCATCGGGCTGGTCTTCACTCGCGGTCTGTTTGACGGTTCTAAAATCATCTCGGTCTACTGCTGAGACATGTTGTTCTAGCATTAGATAACTGTTGAAGGCACCAATAGTGATAAGCGAGAACAAGAATACGGACCGTACGGATTATTTGTGGATCTACAGCATAGAAACCTATCAGATATAAAGGTTCGTCAAACTTGTGCATTGTCTTTTTGATTAGGAAGGGATATTTAGGTGGGGTTGTAATACTGATTCGCATGTGACATAACCCGGAGATATTGCGGTTACGCCAGAGTGCCGGCTTTTTCAGGAAATGACTACTTAGTTAGTATAAATTTTCCAAATTCATTTTCAACATCATTGTAGGTTCAAATGTATTTTATCAAATTCAAGCACAAAAATTTCTTTTTTGTACTCCTTTAGTAGTACTTTGGTAGTACTTAAAGTTTATACTTGAAGATAGGGCTGTTTCGATTTTAAATGTTCGTAATTATGGGATGTTTAAGACGCTCGAATTCCTAATCGGACAGCACGCATCTACCCACTTGTTAATGTTGCTTGTGAATCATACATCACGGTCCGCGTTCTTTTCAAGATTCTATTAGCTCGATATAATATCATAGGGAAATGTATAATACTTCAAACAGAGAAACTATACAGCATGGAGTTTTGAAACCCCACACGCAATCGCAACTGAAGGCCGGTTAAAAATTATTCGGAAACCCGAAAACGACCTTTAAAACTTAAAAATATCTTTTCTTCTAGTATAGTCTTTAAAGAAGGCGTAATTCACCACAAAATGAGTAAAAAAGAGCACTTGTATGTGCGTTTACTAGAAAAAACATTGGAATTTATAAGGACTAAAAGCAATTGGAAATATTTATATTATTTATAAGGTTTTTTATTATGTCTAATTTTCGCTGGCGGCCGGGAAGGAGCTTATTCAAGAGCGGGCATTCTGACATGATTGAGAACTTTAACATTACGCTACACAATAGTCAGTATTGCAATCCCACCTAGGTGTTCCTTTCTATTACAAAACACATTTAAGAATTCAATTAGCATTTCATGAGGTATGCCAGGTATTGTAGCTTGCTAGCGTCCGCAGTAAACAAGCCAGCAAGAAAAATAACAATGGTTTTTATTTTGACGACATTTGGCAGGCATCCTCGATGGAAAGTCAATGAGGTGGGTGCACGAACGGGGAGGTTTTGGTGAGCAGGGAAACGCCCAACAAGGCCTGCCCCGGGGCTTGCACATGTGAGCCATCTTTGTTGCAAAACCCTACTAAACTCGTAATCACAATCAACTCGGGCTGTTTGGCTCACTAGGTAATTAAGTCATTTACCAATTTTATCAATTTTTAGGAAGAGAAACTGATATTAATGTACTGCCGCGGATGTATTTCGCTTAGTTGGGCCATTACTCCGCCTAACTGAACCCCGATGATTGACCCAAGTCCGAATTCAAGAATGCAGTGTCAGGTTTTGGGCAGAGAAGCAGACAGTATGTTGGTCAGATATCGGGTCCAGTTGTCCGCATGGGCATGCGCAGAGAGCTGTGTGAACGCGATAGTGGAATGCCGAAAATGTTGAGGACTCTTGATCCTGTGGGAAAATCTGGTGGCTCAAGCTGGCTTGCCCAAGGGATGAACTGTGCGGCAGCAACCGTTTGACGATGGATGGAGGGGGGAGGGCGAAAGTGGCAACTCTGGCGCCCAAGCGATAATTTGATGGCCGCCGATCTGTCGGCTTGTTACTCACAGAATTATTTGCACACAAACTGAAGGCTAATTAAATATTCTAAAAAATTCGGAGAAAATGGTTCCATTGTACCGAATGAGAAATTATCGACCTGGTAATCATCGTCATCAGATGACAGCGAACGTAGGCATGTCAACGTCTAAAATCGAATTCGGGATATACCAGTAAGACAAGGCGTGGGGAGTGGGTGTTGCTCAAATGACGTCACAGAGCATATTTAAGCGCAGAGGAGAAGGCAAGGATCAGGGTGGGAGAAAGCTTTTAGTCAGTGGTTCTTTGTTATGACTCCGGATAATTGGTTTCGCTAGCAAATCTGCCCGCAGCGTTTTAATCCCATGTGGACCGATTAGCCGAAGTAAACTGGGCCATTTTTCGGATGCATAAAAGCAAAGCTTTTGTTCAAACTTAACATGTCCAGGTCGCACTGGCTTTCTCCAGTAAAAGGCAGTCAGATACCTCCGTGGAACGGCCATACGCCGCAAATTCATTCTGGATGCATATATCAAGTATAAATTATCTGTCTAGACCTGCCTGTATTCAAACAATTCGATCACCAAACTCTCGCTTCACGAGATCGCGTAGACATCTCAAACGAGACTTTGCATATCATGTGAAAACCCCAAAGAAAGTAACAAAATAGGTTTGACTACAC